CCACCTTGGTGTCTCCTGTTGACCAGGGTGAGCGGCTCACCCAGCACACTGTGAAGTCAGCAGAGACATCTAGTGGCAAAAATAACATAAAAATACGCAGGGGAATATACCCGAGTGCTTTGCTTCATCTTTTGGACAGCTCGATTATCACCAGCTTCCTACTGCACGTAAAAAGGACTGGTTGAAAGCTCGAGGCTGTATTTTTAACTGATCCGTTGAAAAATGTATTGGAATGATGCTTTCCTAAATCTCCCAAACCCCAGCTTTATGGAGATAAAACACCTCTGTAACTACTGTGCTTCCTGCCTGTCCTCAGCCTTTCAGGACATTGTTCACCCTCTCTCTTGCTTTTTGAGGAGCTGGCGATATTGGTATCGTGTCTGGTTCTGGTTATGTTTTTTGGTCATGTGTGAAGGTTTCTGTGTGCCATTGCTGCTGGGCTGATTGATGTGATCCTGTTATACAGCTCAGAACAATTTTTTTTCCATCTGTTCTTTACAAATATGTTTTTTGTTAAGAGCTTTTCGGATTTTGGCTTTGATGGCACTGGGTTTTGTTTAAAGACTCGCATTACCTATTATGTTGAACATCTTTGTGCAGCTGTTCCATTTAGTCCAAGTCTGTTCTTCACTGGACACAAATCAGCCACTATTCAGCTTTGGCAGCTATTTAAAAAAAAAAAAAATAACAACCTTTAAGACTGTAACAAAGCAATGGCAAAATTCAATTTCTTAGTCGAGCAGGTAATGCTGCCGATTTACCTGCAGAGAAAATCTGGTTTATCTTCATTAAAACCTGTAGTCCTTACTCTGGATTTATTCTAGAGTCACAGACAATGGATTAAAATATAATGGTGCAAATGAAAGATGTGAACACAGAACTGCCAGTCTAGGTAGAAATTTTTACTTTTATGATGACTTTGCAGGATTCACGTACATCTCACGAAAGACATTTGGCCAATGACAGGAGATCATTGCTGTGAGAGCAAGACAGTTGCTCAAGCAAGAGAAGACTGTGGCCCAGATTTTAATAGGTATTTAGCAATGTTCAGTACTGCAATGCCTAAAGGACTTACAGGAACGTTGGAGTGTGAGGACATGATCGTAAGCAATCAAGAGCTAAAGCGAGCAACGCAGCAGCCCAATTACTTAGCAAATCTCTGTTCATCACCTGGGCTGTGGTACCCAGCTATGCATACAGTCCTACCCTGACCCACGTGCAGCATTAAATATTTTAGCTTATTGAAAGATAGAAAGCTGCAGGCTCTTATATGAATAAGTCAGTTTGGAAAACCAAATTTAGGCTCTGAAGTCAATTAGGCATTGCGAAGTGAAACGCTGAAACACCTAATCACCCGCTGGTTGGGCCAAAGAGACAGTTAGGGATCTCTGAAGCAGTTGGGATCAGAAATTTGATGTGATTCCATACCAGCTGCGAAACATTAAAAGGTTTAGAGGATTTAGTGGAAAAAGAAGGCAATACGAGCTTTGTTTTCAGTTACCTTTTCAACTTTGTACTGATTTTTTGGTAGTGATTTTTTTGGTAGTCATGGTTTTTTTGGCAGTGATTCCTGACTCATTTTAAGTTGCAAAGAAAAGCACCACTTTTACCAGTAGTGTCCACATCAAATCCATTAAGGAAACGATGAGGACCATTTTTAAATCGTTTGCAACCTTTCAGCTGTGCTTATAGGTGCTCTGTTGAATACCTTGGTCCCCTCACCGTCATTCCTCCCCCTCTCCTTTTGCCTTGTCACATCCAGTACAGAAAGCCTCCTCCAACTCCGAGCACAACTGAAGAAGAGGAGACACACAAAAAGTCTGCCAAGCATTGGCTGCGCCAGCAAGAGAGGACCATTTCTCACGGGGACAAGGGAGTATCACCCAAAATGAACCCGGGGAGGATGTTCACCTCTGGAAGGGGCTGCCGTTGTCCCCTCTACAACCTTCTTCCATCCTGAACATCGCTGCCTTCCCTGTCAAGTCCTCGTCTCCCAGCTTGTGAACTCCACCAGCCCTTCTCTGTAGGCAGGCAGTAACCCAAGAACAAGAGGACAACCAGTGCCTCTGCAGTTCAGAGCCCCATTAATATTAGTGGCTACATCTCTTCTAGTAAATAAGAAACTTCAGGGACTGTTTTCTGGCCTGGAAGACAATTTGCACAGCCCAGCCCACATCCATACACCCAAATACTCGTCAAAACACAGTGGCCTCAACCATCCTGCCTGCAGAGAGCAACCCAAGGGCCATGCTCTCCCTGGAAATTGTTGAAGAGCGTGGCCAAGACCATGCTGGGGAACGGGCACAACTACACAGCCGGACTATTTCAGGACAGTAGATGGGTCCATGCCTTGGTCCTGGTTAGTTCCAGTACCCTTTAGAGGAAAGATTAGCTGTATAAGGATAAAAACATTATGCAGAGCTGTAATCAGTAATATTAAGCTTAAGGGAGGCTATAAATACCTATGGCTTAGTGTGTGGCTGAACCTCAAGCTACTAGGGAGAAGGAAGGGGCCGGGAGAAAGATTTTGCTTCAGGCATCTCAGCTTATAATACATCCTAAAGAGATTTTTTGCAGTTTTCCCTGTGGTGCTGGGTCTGGCCAGTGTCTGCAGCAAGATACTGAGCTGCGGTTTTAGAGAGAATGGCAATTTCGGTGATGCTGCGAACCAAGACACCCATCATTTCCCAGAAGAAAAAAGAAAACAAAAGGAGGAGTTGTCCAGTGTGTCTTCTCTTTTGGGAATGGGGGGGGATATAAACTAAAAGTAACTATTTAGCTCGCAGAACTGGGAAGATCTCCTTTTCTCTGTACTATTGGTGTAACGTAGGAAGCAGTGAATGTGAATTGTCACTTGATACTTCATTTCAGTGCAAGCCTGAAGAGCTCAAATCCACAACAGACCAAGCTCTAAATACTTCCTCAGGACAGACTTGGCTCCTGTTCCCAGAAACCTCTTCCTTCTCTTCTCTCATTATTGGACTGGCTCTCTCAGTGTCAACCCATAAGGTAGGTGGAAACGCTTGGCCAGAGTGTAAGACTCATAGGTTTTACAAGGCTTCTTGGCATCCATTCCAGCTCCCAAATTATTGCTTTTCACTGTTTAAATAATACAAAAAGTCAGTTCAAAAAGCCAGGCTACTTGCATGGGAGATTGAAGATAATCTCCGAAACTTCAAAATCAGGCCATTTGGCTAAGTATTTAGTCATGAGCACCAAAGCGTACAATCACTTACTGACAGGTGAGTAAGCAAGAATTTCATTCTAATTTCTAATCCAGTAAACCCAATTATTATAATCTTTAAGCGCCTTTGATGGTCTCTCAGTGCCGCAATTTCTCAGAAGGCCTGGAGCACTGAGAAATCTGAAATTATATGAAAGAAGACATTTGGATGGTACTTGATTTCAAAGGCACTGGCCATGCACATACTGCTAGAAAGCCTTTTGGGCAGGGGCTGCAAATTAACCAGCTTAAACCTGAGGCATCCATGATCACCAGTCTCATTAGAAAATCTGGATGCACTTGCCAGGGACAGATGCTCTCCATCTTGGCTTGCCTTGCACATCCCTACTGCTCCCGAGCACATTTAGGTTAATGCAAAGAAGGTGAATATATTTAAATGCAGGTGGCTCTCTGTGGTAGGCAGACGACTCCGTAGGGCCACGCTGAAGGCTGCCAAGCAGGAATTTAGCGTTGTCTCTGTTTGCACAGAAGGACCTCAGCGACTTGGAAAGCATAGTAGAAGGAAATGTTTTCTCCATGACATACTATGGGCTGCCTACAATCAGCATCCTTCCTCGGCAGCTGGGCTTGATAAATGCTGTCAGCAGCCTGGGAGTCCTTTTGGGCTTCCAGTGTCGAGAACGAATCTGAAGCAATCAGACAGGGACAAACACCCCTGCGCCAGAATCGCTCTGGTCACGCTAGAGCGAGTCCTTATGCGACTGGGCTGGAAGATTGGAACCTTCAGAATAAATTCAATTTGAGCTGTTTATTGGGAATAATCAAGTTTACTCATCTAGACTTTAGTATGTTATCCAATTCTATTATATGTATCACATTTAAAAACAAAAAGAATATACCTGCTAATATACCTGGCTTTTCAATAGAAAAAAAAATTAATTACCCTGTTTGTCTGCTAGAATATACTATGTTGCCAGACAGAATGGTGTTAGCAGTTCTGCATGCTCCTACATATGCTATTTTTTGACTTGGTATTTTTAGTCCGGCTTCTGAAAGAAAAAGAATTTTTAAAACCCTGTCATGGTGCTGGCGTATTTGTGTGAGTTTATCAAGCCTTCCACTAGTACTTTTGAACCAACTAGCTGATTTCATACAAATACGGAGAAGGAAGACAGGTCCTGCAGAGCTACAAGACACAGACACCCTTAAGTTCCCCTCACTATGGGAAATAGCTGGATGTGGGCTCAGCCTTTATCAGACACCAGAGAATCCACACAGGCGAGCTTCCCTTGGAAACACAAATCAAGATGAAATGAAGCTGCTTTGGCTCTGCTCATCCCCAAACAACTACAATTCTTCTCTTCAACAGAGCGAGGCGATGCCATGCCTCGTGCTTGTATTTCTCCGAGAGACAGAAAAAAGGTCACATCACACATTTCCTCTGCAATCCTTCCCATAATACATTTTAAAAAAAAAAATCTCTCCTCCATCACTGTGTTTCCAGGTTGACATTTCCACTGTGCTGGGACATTTGGAACAAATTTACCTTTCAATATTACCGCATTCAGGCAACATAAAGTGGTAGCTTAGAGGGGCTGCAGGACACACAAGACTCTTTCCAGTATTCCCATCATTTACAAAGACCCACGTAAGGGGGGATCTGAGCCTTCCTTTTGAACCAAAGCTTTTAAGCAGTTTGTTTTGGCCTCCTTTAGAGCTGCAGGCCAAGTGAACTACAGCCATTTGTTCTGAAACCGTAAATCTCACAAGCTATAAAGTGGTTTCCTAATCCTTTTATTTTACAGGGCACACATTTTCTCAGTGAGCCATGCCCCTTCTTAGCTGTGATTTGGAGAAATCTGCACAAGGAAACCATTCCAGCCTTCGGAGCTGGATTTCTCCAGCTGTTGCATTTTCCTTATTTTCTGGGCTGTCTTCTCACACAAATTAGGTGCTCCAACCTGTCACAACCACCCTGTAGAAGGAAAATAAAAGCATCAGCAGCACCACCACAATAAACTTGAACTTAGAGCCAAATAAAACCTGTTGTGGAAATTCACTTGACTAATCTTTCTCCTTAAAAAAAGACTGGCAAAAGAAGGGTTTTTGGCAAAAAAAAAAAAAAAAAAAAAAAGAGGGACACACACCTGAGTAAACAGATTTTGATGTCTGTGGGCCATCTTTCCACTGGGCAGGATCAAAGCAACTCTGCTGGAGGGCATTATGGAAAAAGTCACACATAAATTGGGATCCTGGCAGTTTAGGAGACAAAAAAAAAACCCCAAAACAGGGAAGAACTGGGTCTGCTCTCCCATGCTGAGATGGTTGCAAGGCAGGCGATGGCATCCTGCCCGGCTGAGGGAAACCCCTTCCAGAAGACATCTCCTTCAGCGGCAGCTTAGCAGCGGTCACCCGTGCTTTGCGCAAGCCTGAGCGTGGTGGTCTCTGCCATATCCATCGCAGGATGCCATACCTTCATGAGGCGGCTGGATACGCCGCTGAAAACGGGGGTTTCAATTATTTGTGAGACCTGGAGGACCTCCTACGAGGGACAGAGATCCAAGGAGGATGGGAGATGTCTCCACGGCCGTGCAAGGGAGGTAGTACCCTCCTGGCGAACCTCTCCTCCTTCGCCAGCGCCAGGCAGGGGTGGAGGACGTGGGAATCGATGTGAAGATCACGGCCCATCTCTGCTCGCACAAGGAGAGGGAGCCAAGCTCTGCGAGTCCCATCAGCGGGCCCCATCCCCGTTCCCATTTCCAACCCCAGTCCTGCGTGATGAGAGTGACGGAGAGACACTTTGCAAAGAACAAAGGGAATCGCCGGTAATTTTTCATCCACAACGGGATACGGGCACCGTTTATCCCTGAAGGTAAAAGCAAATAAACCCCAGAAAGAGCTAAAGCTGTCAAACACAGCACTGCTCTCTTTCGCCTCCAGGTACCACACTTGTGCAGCGCCTGGCGTACTTCAGAGGTTGCTGCAAATTCGGTGTCCTTTTCAAACACCTGCAGGGACAACTGTTCTTGAGCATTAAAATGTCCTTCATTACACAGTGAGGGTTTCATTTTAGTAATTCCCTACATCGCAGTGTGAGCTGGCATGCTCAGGAACAGTTAGCCAAATGCTTGATCTGAATCACAAATTAAGAAGTGGCAACAAAATAATATCACACAATGAACACATGAACATCATTTTTATGTATTAGACACAAGTACAGTGAGGTGCTGAGAGCACAGAAAAAGCCACAATTTCCCACTTAGTTCTGCTGAGCTTGTACTGAATGATAAACATGGCATAACTTTCCAGAACAACTTTTCAAGATTTAAGTGCAGCACCTGGAAAGCCTGTTCTGAAACACGCTGATCTCAAGGACTCCAGGAAATTTGCACATACACAATCATTTTGCATTTACCTCGGATCTCACCTGCGCGGAACCGAGGTTTATTTGCCCGCTTTGCATTCCTAGTGAGAAATTGTTACTGCCGTCTTTCTTCCTAGTGCACGGTTTTCCTTCTCATTCTTTGCTTTTTTTTTTAATGCAGGAAGGAAACATAAGAATGTCAGGTCTAAGGTGACTGCTCTGTAACACAACACATATTTTTATTCCACACAGAAGAGGAATGCTAAGTTGTTCAAATACCCAAAATGTTCCTCCCTTCACCCTGCAGCAGTAACACTTGTGACTTATCTATAAAAGTAAGCAAAAAACCCCAACCCTAGACAAAAGATTTGCTCACTGCTCAGCTGTGCACTCACTCTAATTAGATGAGCAATCTAATAAATTGAAAAGCAAAACAAAACAAAAGGAAGATTTAATTTGTCTTTATCTATTATGAATATGAGTTGGATTGGGGTGGTACAGACACATGATTTTATTCATCTGAGTTTTGTAATGCATTTATCCAAGTTTTTCAACTGAAACTTTCTGTAAACTGGAGAAATGATCTAGGAATTGCTCTGTTTTCCTGCATGGTTCATTCAGGATGAATGAAACTGTTTTTTAGATGAAATATTTTATTTTGATGATATCTGAACACACAAGTTTGTCTTAATTTGTCTTCAATTTAATGGTGAGAAGATCAAAAATTTATAAAATTATGTTTCACACCAGATGATGACTGTTTATTTAAAAGATATCTTTTTTTATTATTCGGGATTATTGTTGAATCAAAAATACCAATTATTTTATAGCTCTGTTCCCAAATTCTTTCCCAGCCCTGGGGAAGTGGTTACTCTGTAAAGGCTGTGATATATTCAAATATCCCTTAAAAAAAATTCTAAACCTGCATACTCGTAACTCTTTATGCCTTTAGCACATTGAAACATCTACTGTGCAGCAGCTCTGGGACGAGCAAGGAATGCAAGACACATTTTTATCTGACCTAGCACAACTCATACACGTAATAAGATATTACCAAATTGTCTGTAAATGAAAATCCTAGTGGAGCTCTGCTCAGCTCAGGGAAAGTATCACAATACTTCAGGAAATACTGATTTGCTGGAAATGAAGAAATTACAATATTAATTTTTTGTAATTAGATAAACACAGGAGGTAGGTTTCTGAGTCAGCTGTGGATATTTAATATTTCAAATGGATGTTACCCACCTACGCTCCTTCCCCACACTCGCACTCCTGTCTCCAACCCGTTCCCACCTTCTTTTCCGCAGAGATGCTCAGTCTCAGGGTGCGAGTGCCGTGAAGTGGAACTGTTCACAAACTGCTGTCACTGCAAGAGGAGACGGTGCCGTTATGGGAGAAGAGGATGCCGAAATAACCGAAACCACATGGAATGAGTTTCTAAGATTCTTCCTCTGCCGGTGACCCTTCCTTGTCCACTGCCGACAAAGCATGAATCCAAACTGATACCGATGTTAGGACGGGCTGTCTTCTTAGCTTTTATGAATACCATGGACTGTACGTTCATTTACCCCAAATTAACTCGCCCCTGCTACCCTTTCTCTTCAAGTATTGTTTGTCTGGTTTCTGCTGTCTCTCATCATGTCATATCTGTAAGTCTTCTGGGCTAGAGACACTGTTTTATAGCACATATATAATACATGGCTTGCTATGTATTTAATTTAAACAATGGGTAATGACCGTACCGACTACAAGCTGGCCAACCCAAGAAAAAGTAAGCAGAATAAGCAGCTGGTCCAAGTGGATCCTGACTTTACTGGTTCCTACAGTCGGTGGGTAAATCGTCCCTTGGGGGTTATGCTACCTGGGATCAAAGATTACCGATTAATACACAATACCGTAGTAAGAGCTGTTTCCTGCGCTCACACCTGAGGGGAGAATTAGGGGACACTCCAGCCTAGAAACTTTTTTCACCCATCTGAGCTCTTTTAAGATCACCTTTTCCCCAAAGACTATAAGGGTAATTCCCTTGGCTGGACTTCCTGCATAGCCAAGGTTACAGAAGGAAAGCACAGATCTGTATTTAATGTTGGAAGAATACTGGTATTTGAAGAAAAGTGAAGAGGAACTCGCTGCTTTTCTACAGTTGTGGTCCATAAAAGCAGCATTTTAGGATGGGGGGTGAAACAGGAGGCTAGGTGAGAAAATGAGTGAGCTGGTTTGTCTAAACAGTAAACCTAACCCCATACATCTTGCAAATATGTCCTGGTGAGAACAGAAAAGAGTCTCAAAGCTCAGGAGCAATGACTAATATGCAAAAGGGAATTAAGGAGAGAATGCAACTTGGTAGACAAAAAAAGTGAAGGACTGTTGGGTTGAATTTGGGAAGGGGAAAGTAAATGGAGTAAAGTAGAAAAAAAAATAGCACGTGTAATATTTCATAGAAGAAATGGAATACAGTGGGGTTTTTCTATTCTCCAAACCACAATTAAAATGAGGGGATGTATCAAAACCGGCAAATTTTAAAATTGTTTAGAAAGGTTTTGTTGTCACAGGATCTACCGAAAGCCACCTGGGGAATGCAATACAATACCAATGTAGCCAAACATACAGCCCCAGTCCTCTACTCAGATGCTGAATTTTGTTCCTAGACTGACATTTTCAAAATCTGTGCACTTTACTGCCTTTAACTGTGTATGCCCAGCTTTATACCACTTCAAAGCTCCTTTCCACAGAGAGGAGTAATGCTAAACACTTTCTAAAAATCACAGCCTTTCAATGCATCTCCAATTGATAAATATAAATTACAGGCATCCAAGAACACTGACCTTTGAAAAACATGACCTTAGAGGACAGCTAATTTGGCACAGAACTGTAAGGCCATTAGAGGGGCACAAAACCAGCACCCAGCCCTGGAAAGAGACCTCTCCTCCTTGCAGCTCTTTGCCTATCAGTGCTGGGAGAAAAGAAGAGTGGTGAGACCTGAAGGACCATGTAGCAGCATGGTGTGCAGTAGTTTATGCATACCTTGGAGAAGCAAATAGCGCAAAAATGGCTGTGTCAGCATTTTCAGCTACTCCCCCCCCTCCCTTGAAGAGTTTCCCAGGAGCAGTGGTGCACTCTCAGATGGGAAATTGCATCCAGGCTCTAGCCATACTGTCCTACTTGAAAGGTGCAAAGAATCAGGATTAGAGTAGCGAATCTGTTCCATTATCCCTGTTGTTACAATACGAATGTGAAACAGTCTGGAAAATACAGGAATACCTGATGTGAAATTGTATGTATTACAAGTACTTTCCAAATCCAGCTTTTATAATAACGCAGAAAGGTGCCTTTACATATGCCAAACCCCACACCTGAAGCCACAGGTTTCTCAATAAACACATCTTCTGCAACGATGGTACACTTACGGGATTAAAGTTTATATGAAGAGCAAAACAGAGAGAGGTCTGCTCATCTGCCAAGCAGTAATTTCTTCAAGCTTTCTGTGCCTCTGCAGACACTGAACAGGGTACCCTGCCTTATGCATGACATCGATTTGGAAGGTGTAGTTTTGCACCGTGAACCTGAAAAGTCTTAAAGTCAACGCTCAGTTGCATACTTCCACTAAATCTTTTCAGAGCGGAGTGGAAACTATCTAATAATCAGCATGTGTTTAGGCTCACGTCTTTTCCTAGTTTAACAGGTGAGTGCTTGGATCTTGGGGTAGGGGGTTCAGGAGGAGCTGTGTACAGCGTGGACAAAGTCTCCCGGGAACAAGCCGTGTGCCTTTCACTGTGGGCGTGCTGCTTCTTAACCAAAGCATTGCTCAGCAAAGTTGACACCTGCAAGACAAACAAGGAACTTCACCGGGCTTTGTGTACTTTATATACATATATACACACGCACAAAATGAACCAAACAGTGACTTAGAATTGCTTATTCATTAGGCAAAGAGAAGTCCTCCAGGGTGCAAAGACTCTTTTCTCAGTGAGGTTCCTGGCACTCACAGCTTTCCGTTACTTTTTTATTATTAAAAAAGGAATTAAAACCATATTTTTCTCATTTCAGTAAGTACCTTTATGATGTCCAAACAACTCCAACAATGATATCATCTGTATCTTTCCTCCAGGGAGGAATTCAGGCCAGACCATGATATTCCTGCTTATTCTTGGAGCACAGAGCCTCACAGCAAGGTAAAAACAGCAAGCCTCACTCCTTGGGGGGGGAATGCATGTCACAGCACTGTCCACTTCATACTGTACCTCCTACAGATCCCTTCCTCTTCTCGAGAGCTGTTCGACACTATAAATTAAGAGTTAAGGCCTGAATCCTGCTATGCCTGATCTCTGCAGGCAGATACCAAGGCTGCTCTTCAGCGGGACATGCTCACCAGTATGGATCTGCCCATATGGATCCCATTTCTCCACAAATACTCTTTTCGGGATATGTACAACATGTGGCATAATGGGGCTGCAGTCCTTGAAGTGGTTTAATGAAACAGATGATTCACCTTCAACTTAAGTCCCCCAGCTTAGGAAGGAGGTCAAGCGTGTCTTTAGCTGGCTGCCTGCGCGATGGTGGACCCGCAGGGATGGACATGGGTCCAACCTCCCCCGCGCTCTCAACCTCCTTGCAGCCACCTCTCCTCCACGGTTTGTGCGAGGTACCCCTTCTGTCAGCAGCACAAAAGACCATGACCCCATCTGAGATTAGCTCTGGGCTTATACAGTACGCAGGCTTGGAGCATCACCAACAAACTGGTGCCCTTGACCAGCTCTCCCATGTATCTCCCCACCCTTCTCCTGCTTCCCTCACAACCCAAACCCATGACCCCTCCTTCCCCGTAGCTCATAAACATCTTTCTTTCACCAAGTTAGCAGGCGCTAACTGTACAGAAGTGCCCTGCTGCTTTGCTAGGAAATAGCCGCAGAGCTTGAAGGTGTTCTGCTCTGGGAGTAGGAGGACAAAAAAAGCAAGGTGCTGGTGGCAAGTTCTTCCCCTCAAACACCATGTCCTGCCGATGGCAGATGCTGAAGTCTCTTGGCTGCCAGAATCTACCTGCTAGAAAATCCCACCGAGGCTTGTGGGTCATGCCAGAGGTGGTGTCTTGCTGAGCAGACCTTCTAGAGGTTCTCCCGGGAGCAAGGAAAAACAGTCCTTTCCCCAGATCCTCAGACATTTGCTGGCTGAAGAGGCGACAGGAGCGGAATTTTCAGACTCTAGCAGTCCTGTGTGTAGTCCCAGCTCTGACTGTAGACCATGGCAGATGATCAGAGACTCAGTAGTCACCTCTCAGTGCAAGATGCCATGAGATACCTGAAACTACTGGCAGATGTGCTGAACTGCCTCCATCCCTGGCTTTCAGAGGGATTTTGTTTTTTAAATGTAAATCAGTGTTGCTCAGTATCTTTTAGGTGGGGCTGTAACAGGCCCCTCTCCTCCAGCTGCTGCACGGGAAGCCTGCGATCCAGTCTGGACTCCGCAGGGTATGCCTGCAGGCTCACAGCACAGCTTCCCTGCAAGAAGGATCCCTTGCTGCCCACACAAATATTCTGTTAGAGCATTTCTGCCGATGGAGCGCGTGGTCACGGGTTTGGGGGAGGGCTGTAGATAGCACGGGTGGCTTTGGGGGATGGTAAAAGCCACCCTTTAGTCTGTACCCCCAGTTCTACAACTAGGAAACTAATTTATTCCTAAAGAGCATTGATGTCAATTAACATGCACGGGGGGGGGTGTCATTGGGAGCCTTATGCAAAACACACAGTAGCCACTGCAACCCAAGAGCATCACCTACTGCAAGATCACACGGGCAGTCACACAGTTACTCACCGACGTATTTAATTAACTGTGGGACACTACATTTATTACTACCTGCCTTGCCTTCAAGGACACTGCCAGGGATATCTGTTGCCAGCTAAAACAGAAGACACACAGGCACTTGTAAGAAAAAAAGCAAGCTTGCTACATGAAAATTAATAGAAACATTGGACAGCTATGGCAATAATAAAATGAACAATTACTACATTATGGAACATGCACATTCAATTCTATTTGATTAACAGTGTTATTTTGCAAAGTAAACTTACAATGAACATACACATATTTTGAAGCTGCTGCAGATCCAAACCTTCCAACTCTGTTTTTTTGGGTTTTTTTGCTGATGCGTCACTACTTATACCCAGGCAAAATGCTGAGGAGACTGCTATTCTTTCTAAGAACTGTTTTCCTTAGGGAAAGTAGGGAGCATTAGAGGTCTGGAAATTACTGAACGTTAAGCCTACTTTGGGATAACACCTATTGTTATTCTACGTTAGCAACTGTTTCTTGAAACAGATCCAGTAAAGAGATTTATTTTCATCTTCTTAGGGTAATTGGGATGTTTCTGGCAACAGATCTGCAGTGTTTCACAGAAACAGAGCACAGGGGGAACAGGATAGCTGCACCCTGAATCATTAAGTGGTTCTGGTCCTCTGCTTCTTTACAGCAGAACCTTGGCAGCCAAATAAGCAGTTACAGGATTTCTGCAGCCAGTGATAGAAATAAGACTACAAGAGATAGGAAGCTACATGCTACTTTTTGAAAAAGCAATAGTGGTTTCTAGTAGGAACTCTGTGCATGGGAAAAGGAAATAGAGTTTGTGTATTCACACAAGCATTTCTTTCACAAAACACAATCAGCTGAGCAGCTAAGGAAAATACACTTTCACTAAAATTATTTATATCTCAGCAGTGATAATTAAAATAAATTAAATAGACCTATTGCATCATTACATAGAATATGCCAGAAAGCCAGGTCAAAGCAAGGTAAATACCTCAGATACACCTTGGAAATACACACTGCCCTGAACTGGCGAGATATTTGAGACAATAATTCCTTCTGTCTCACGGAGTTTAAAAAAAAAAAAAAAGGAATCAAAATTTATCTTCAGTGATTATTTGTCCCAGTTTCAGACACTTCTCTGTCAGTCTCTGACCTGCTCTAGCAAGTGTTCTCTTTAAAATTATATTACTGGGTTCCACTTCAGTCGTACCCTTTCTCTGCACCCCCAGAAATAAGATGGTAGCCACTCTAGTTTCAGTGAATGGTTTTCCTCCACACAAAGCTCTTAAAGTTAAGTTAAAGCCTTGCAATCTGCTATTCCTTTGCTCCTCTGCATCCTGCCAAGCCATTGCTATTCAGACTACCTGCCACAGGTTCTTAAGTGATGCACCGATGTGCCTAGAAAATGAGGCACTCCTCTCCAAGAGGACAATTCAAATAGGCTAAATAAGGAGCTTTTGATTGATTACAGACAATCTTACGCACCTCTGTGAAAGGCAGTGCAATGATCGAGCACACCAAGCAATCAAGGCTCCTGGAGCCAGCTAATTAGCAACGCTAGTCACAACTGTATGTCTCAGCTGAGCTCCAGAAGACACTTCAGTAGCTACAGGAATGTTTTACTGCATTTCCCTTCTTCAATTTGTCTCAGTACATTGGTCAAAAAGATCTCATTTACACAGTCAGAAAGTAGTCTTCAGCTCTTTTGGCCAATTATATGGCACTGGGTATCAATTTTCCTTCTCCGATTACGCCTGTAAGCCTGGGCTCATCCAACCCGACTATTGATATGGGGCTCACAATCTCAGAGGTCATGACCACCTCGCATTGCTGTCTTTAGCAGGGGAACTCACAGGCATTCCCAGGACGGGAAAGATCCATTTATTTATTTATTTAATTAAAACTGTAATTGAGATCTTTTTTAAAAAAAGAGACAATTTTCTGTATGATTTCTAATTTTAAAATGCCCCTTTTTTTTGCTTTTTTAAAATAGCATTACTATAGATTTGGGCTATTTTCATGTATTCAGAGGAATCGAGCAAGCTATTAGCCAAAACACTTTTTACTGATTGAGGCAACAATTGCATTAACATGAAAGCACGCCAGAAAGCATACACAAATAGCAGTGGAAAGAAAAGACAATACTTTTTACGAGTAATTTTTACTATTCCAGTGCAAATAAAAGCTCCTGAAAGCGTTTCTTAAGATGTACATCACCACTTTAATATCTAAGCTTACTTAGTAAAGGTGGATTTTTTTTTCAAATTTATTCTTATTGGTTGACTGCATTAAAACATTAAGAACTGTATTTGTCACAGTCTCTACAATCATTCAATTTTCTGTTGCTGGGGGCCTTTCCCACTGCAACTGGAAAGTACATAAAAGGAACACTGTAAATAAGTTATAAAATTGGCATGCATCAGGATAGCTGCAAAACTTAACTTTTGAACCATTTCAAATTTAATCGCTTTCCACCTGTTTCAGTTAGAGAGAACTTCCACAATTAAAAGCACTGTATTTAGTGCTATCTTAAAATACTTCAAAAAACCTTCAGCAGAACATACAGATCAGAAGCGCTATTACACAAAGTTTCCTGTGTCTTAAGACAATACCACTCACTAGAATTCCAAAAATAATGGAGAAAAAATTGCCAAAACTAAAAGGTACCTTACAAAAGAATACACATTCTCAGAGGCACAGCTTTACTAAGAAATTCAATACTATGTAAAAAGCAATTCACATTTTATTTTAAATTGCAATAAACTGTACAAAAATGTTTTATTCTTGCCAAAAATAACAGCAATATTTTCAATCTTACTTCTAGACAAACAACAAACTCTTATTTTAATCTTTCCTGGGTGAGTTTACGAATAAACAGACAATAAGATGCACGGGTTTGTGTCAGAGTCAGGATAGAATGAACAGTTTTAAACATTTGTGGAATAAATTTTAAGTTTTTAGTGTCTTTTCGGAATTTATTCCTGCCATGCCTGTTAAAAGCCTAAAGAAAAAAAAACAGGTTTGTGTCTCACACAAAGGAATGTAAACAATCATCAAGAGATTAAAGAGGTTGACTCTTCCAATGAAACCGTAAACGTACCTCTATATCACTAACATTCACTTTACACCAAGAACAGTCCACAGCACGAGGATTGTGCAATAGCTGAATCCACTCTCCAAAATGCCAATTAAATATACACCAAAGACTTTTTTTTTAAGTTTTCAAAAAGAATAAAATCTTAAGTAACAGAACTGAAATGGATTATACTCTTTTTAACATTGAGGTTTTCTTCTTATCCTAATTAATGAGTGAATATGTAACAGCCCCATCAGATCTACAATCACAATGCACTTTTTCCAAGATGCAATAAAGTAAACGAGCACCTAGTGAAGTCAATCAAAGGTAGAAAGCACCTCTGCCAAGAGCATGGGCTTATTTTCAGGCTTGGTTTTGTTCGCATAACACATTTAATGCAGACTAACAAAACATAATTTGGGTCACTGACACAGCTTCTTCAGTCTGAGACCTAAAATGGAAATACAATTGCAGTGATTTTTTTAGATTTCACAGTTTTTTTCCTCGGTGTTGAAACTTCGCTAAGAAAAAGCTGTTTCAACAGATTGGTTAGAGCTTAAAAAATTAAGCATCTTCTGCTACTTCAGAGTTGTTTGAGGGAATAAAGTCTTCTTGAAATTCCACTTTATCTGGATAGAGTTTAATGTAGGTGTCCACCATTAAATCTAAGTCATGTTTTATATCAAAGTTTATGTTCAGCAAAGCTAGGTTGCTTGACCTTTGTTCTGTCAAGGTGTTTTTCAGGTAAGCCTTTAAGCGCTTTCGTCCTATTTCATATTTTTCATTCTCCACCTTCATCACTGGAAGTATGCACAAGACTTTAAGCAATGCGTAAACGTTAGGGAAAAACTTTATGTCAGGCAAGTGAAGTGCTTCATAAATAGTAGCTGGAAGTTCAATATCTTTTCCTCTGTGCTTCCACTTGATTCTCCAACAATGAAGCTCAGCAGAAAGTGTGTCTGGATTAGGCAAGTCCTTTTTGTACATGTCAGCGTGATGCTCCTCGGACGTATTGAATTTGAGCTGCCCCATGACTGAGGGCACTAACGATAAGCACTTGAGAGCTTTTAAATGTTGTTCTGAGAACATATCTTTTAATTCTTGAATAATATGCTCCACTGTGGGGACACTAAGGATTTCTTTGTAGTAATTTTCTGACGTTACCTCAGAGTCCAAGTTCCCCTGTTGTGCCCTGCGAAATTTACCTGGGAGTTTAATTTGTACATCCAGTTTTGCAGCCAAATTTGTTGCTTCCTCAAACCAAAATTCATGGTAAACTTCAATATTCTCCATCACTTCATTCAGAGAATGCAACACTGCTGTTAAGCTGCTAGCTGCAAAAAATACATCTGATGTTTGTCCTTGGAGATTTTTTCCGAATGCTCTTGTAAAAGACAGAACGTTTTTCAGAATTACAATAGTGACAATGAAGTCAAAATCTGTTAATGCACTTGAAAGTACAAATGCTCGACCTGCAATAAAGTTGTTCCACCTAATAGACGAGTCGCTGCTTACCGCATCCAAGCACAGTACCAACGCTTGCATGAGGTCCACTAAAACCTCGAAAATATCATGTCTGCCTGTCCACTGAGAACGGCAGATCTCCTTCAGCTCATTACCCTTCTCCTCATTGTTCTGAAAAAGAACAGAAATTGTGTTGTCCAGTTCTACTAGTAGTTGAGGAGACTGATTAAAAAGACAGCAAACTTCTTCAATTGTTCCCATTGCATTGGAAACACCAACAACAGGAACGGATTTTGCCAGCCAAACATTTAAGGCACAAGAGGAACACAGTGTATACACAGCTTGTGGATACTTTTCCAAGAGTCTTGTAGCCACAATCTTCATTTTAGAAGCAAACCCACTGGAGACGATGTAGGCTTGACCTCGACAGTACTCCATGTTTAGACCCCACTTTTCAGTAATAGTCGTGTGGAACTTAACAGCTAAAATTTCAGGATCAGCCTCATATGGTAAAAACCCTATGAATTCTTCTCTCAGATTATGAGAATCATCAACAAATCTCACTAACACTGGCAAATGTTCCTCTCCTGCTATGTCTACTACTTCATCAGTGACAACAGAAAAGAAGTGTGCGTCTCTTACTTCCCTCAGTGTCTCTTCTCTAACACAGTTTTCACAGATCTCAAGCATTTGCTTCTGCTGAGTTTTTGAACAATACTCAAGATTGACTGCAGTCATCTCAAATCGCTTCCTCAGAACTTCATCTCCAGCATTTATTCTATATTCCAGTAGAGCTTGAAAGTTATCTGAAGTAAAAATACCTTCTGGAAGCTCATCAACATTATGGCCATCCAAGGGAATATTTTGTTTACCCATTAGGATCAAAATTTCAAACAAAGATTTAAGGTAATCTTTGTTTTCTCTTTCTTCCAGTGTTAAGGGGACAGCTTCTTCCTCTTGTTCTTCCCCTCCTTCCTCCGAGACAGTATTTTGTTCATTGCTTTCGTTCAATTCTTGAGTTGCCTGTTCCCGTTCAAAAGCTTCATCAACTACAAAATGTAAAATACTGTAAGTGTCAAGATAACATGAATAAAACATAACATTTGCTTTCCCTTACTATCCCCATTACTTTTAAGTTACTGGAGTCTAGAGAAGAATGTTTCCAGTTTAAAAGTGAATGAGTATTTGGAAAGAGTTTAGACTGGCTGTTTGAATCAAGCAGGAACTCACTTGTACTCCTGATATATATAAACTTACAGTTATGTGTCCTGCATTACCTTGCAGCCTTAGTAAACAAAGTTTTTATGAACTCAATTATTTTGCCCACTTACTCTTTTGCTGCTTCAGTGTTCTTATTTCATCTTCACTCTTTAAAAAAAAACAAAACAAAAAACAACCACCAACTTATATTGATGATAATGTTTAGCACAAGACCTTGAAACATTAAAACACAACAAGATCAGATACAAATATCGTAGATGAGACCATTTTTAAGTGTGTCAGTATTCACCAAAAAGTGTTAGAAGGTCCAAGAGAAGGAGGTTTCTTCAGGTTGTTTATTGCTGCCACAACACATATCTACTAACTACATGAGAATAGTTTGCTACTACTGCTGATGTTCCCATACGTATATTAGGAATTTGTTCAATATGTATTTTATAATTCTTAGTAAGTAAATTCCATTAAAGAATTCTGTTTCAATATGAACATGCACTGTCAGTAGACAGAACTGTCTTTAACTCTAATTTCAGTCAATAAACAGACTCAGTCAAACTCATGAAGAAATACTTAGAAATTGTGTGTAATTTTCCAACACATAAGCAGGGTTTAGGAGCTGAATTCCTCTTAATTGTCAGTATACTTATAACCCCAGAGACCTAAAGACACTTTTTCTGTAAATGACACAAAAGAGGTATCGACAAGACACAATTCTACAAAAAACTTCTTGATCTTGGTTTTATGCATGGATCATCTTTACAGAACAATAAATAAAACAAGCATGGCTGAATTGGTGCAGACTTCAAAAGTTAAACAGGTGAACTGAAGATCACAGTCCATATGTAGCAAAAATTTCAGGGTACCACGCATAAGTTTCATTAAGTTAGCACTGTAATAACAAGTAAAAGAAAGTTATGCGCTTTCTTTGGAAGGCAGAATCAGCTCTGGATCAACACATTTCATTTTCCAGATTACTTCATTAAACCTTCCGTAGTAGATAAAATTTATATCACCATAATATTTGGGCATTTGACTTATAATCAACAAAAAGATACTGGAATAGGCAGTACAGAAAATGCAAACACTCAAGTGCTAAATATTATTATTTGACACTTTCATACAAAAGTTTAACATGAACTTACTTGCCTTTATTGGTTTAATATTAATTAAAAAAAAACTTACATGAAAAACTTACCAGCTCTTTTATCCTTTTCCTATGTCTGCTGTGGGGATTGTTCAAGTGACTTGTAAGGTCAAATATAGTTGGCACAGCATTATCCCGTAAGACCGTTCTGTAAGGGCTCTGTAAGAAGACAGACACCTAGATTGGGGATTTCTTTGGGAAATTCTCACTATGGGTGCACAAAACCACCCCAGAATTTCAGATGCCAAGTCCCCCCCCCTTTTTTTTTTTTGATTTTTAAAGTATTTTCACTTTCTGACGTTTCAAAACAAACAGAAAGCTATGCTATGCAATTCACATTTCAGGGATATCAAGAGAACACTGAAAAAGAAAAGACAGATACTAAAGAAAACCCAAACCCAAACCACAAATACTTTTTCCTCCCCATTATCTTCATATCAAAGACCCCATATGCAGCAATTTTAATTTACTGCAATATTATGATTTTTAAAAATAAACATTCTGGATAAAAAGACATTTATGAATCAGAAAGGAAACATTTTGTTACTATTGTGCTTTGATTTTTATAACTTATTTCACAATTCTAGAAACAATCGCATAAACATTTTCACTGTGAAAATGTTCAACTCCTTCTTTATGGAGACTTATAAATTCCACAAAACACTACTGTGAAAGATCATATTGAAGGAAAAATTATCTGTCAAATGAGCAGGAGGAAGAAAAGACTTCTAGATGGTCATGTAAATGCTTCTAGCAGTTAAATAAAAATATTTAAAATAAAATTTTGTATTTGGATATACCATAAGCTTACATTGTCTAAACTGGCTAATTTCCAGTTAAGTATAAAATTTTATCTGATGAGATTTATACCTGTCCTTAGACTGAAATACATTTTAAACAAACCAAGTTTCATAAAGCTTCATTTCAGATTCAGAATTACTCCCAATATTCATCTGTTTGTTTCTGGGATGCTGGCTAATCAGAGACCCTGTCACATGTAATACCACCAGGAGCTCAGAGTCTGACCTGCATATTTTAATTATCCTCCATAACTAAAGGACTGATTTTGCCTATGTATCACAGCCTAGAAATTAAAACTTGATATAGAGCCCCAAGTCCACCATCTCCTACTGTTACATAAGCTGTTAAAATCAACATTATCTTGTTAACAAGAAAAATTGAAAGCTATTATTTCATTAACAGGCAACAGTGCCATGATTTTAGCTGGATAAAATATAACAGAAATCACAAGCTTGACAGACGTACAGATTGTTTAAATCTCTTGGCCACAACAGAATGTAATATAACCAAATCACACTATGTACACACTTCAGTAACAGCACATTAATGATTTTAAATAATTAGAGCTATGTAAACTTACATACTTACACCCAATAAATTTAAATAATGTTGTAACTTCTAGTGACAATAAACAAAATAAGCATTGCTTTGCATGAGGAACAAACTGCAGTGAAGACCAGTGCTCCACAAACACATTAAACCAGCAGGAGCAGCTCTGCTTTTCTCTTCCCCGACTGCTCATTTCCACCTCATCCTTTGTGCCAACATCTGTGAGTCTGTGTGGCGCCCTGGATCGTGACAATGATCTCAATTAAGACCAAGAGATTAATTTTCCCAGGGACCAGCTACCCAGGCAATCAAAAGATTAAAATGCAGCATTTTGATGAAAAATGTTACTCACATTTTGCAAGATGCAGTAAACAAATGCTTGGTTTTACTTACACTTCTACATATCATAGAAGTCTCAAAATGTTTAGCGCACAATCTGTAATGCTTGTTGAGTTGATCTGGAGTTTTATCTTCTAAATCTGCCCTTCGACAGTTCTCTACCCATCTTTGACATCTGCATGTAAGCAAAAGAATTAGCTAGTTTTAAGATGAAACAAAATCCCCTACAATTTCAAACAGTACTTAAAATTGGAGTGCAGTCAGCCCTGCACTTTATGCAAGGCTAAGGAAAGTTCTGTACAGCTTCCGTTGTAACATACCACCAAATCTTTTTAAAAATTTGTTTTTCTCCTTTTGTTCACCACTTACCACTTCCCCAGGAAATTCAGGAATCTTTTCCCTTAATTTATATATTCTTGCCTTTGTCTCATACACACAACAGATTGTAACGCAGGTGCTCACGAAACCTGACCATTTAATTCTTAAGAATTTAATCTTAAAAGTTAAAAAAGAAACAGATGTGCTTGTAGACTAAAGTCATAAAGTTTTTGAAGGCAGCTATTAAAACAGTTGTCTTCTCCACCTCCCTCCAAAACACAGCATTTTTCGTATTTATTGTGGTCACTGGGGAGTTTAAAGTAGATTTCTGAAAAGTGAAATAAAAATAATAATGCAATCATTCTACAGACACTGCTCACATGCCTGAAGTAAGTTTTTGTTAGATGGGTATTTTTACATTTACTTCTGCTTTGGATTAGTTCTCTGAGATATAACACAAAGCTAAAGAAACCTTTCCCCTACTAATACAGCTCCTTTCAGATCTGCAAGATACCATTTCCTCTGGTGAGTAAACCACTTGCAGTAATTGATGCAAATGCATTAGTCAGCTTCTATTTCCCCCAATGGGGTCTATGCAATCACTTCCTTGCTACGGATTTTTGAGTAACAGCATGCATAGACCAATTCTGCACAGCTACTCCAGTAAAACTCATCCGCTATTTTATTTGTGCAGTAAAAATATAAATATAAATTAACAAGACTCCAGCAGCTATTGATATCTCTGTATTTAAAAGCTTAAACAAAAAAGCCATTTCCTTCCTGCAAAAATAATCCTCGGCAGCAGTGTCATTTTAATGTACTTGCTTACAACTTATGGGATCACAGAGCCACCAGTTTACAATGGCACATAAGTAAACAGAAAGTTGAAAACATACAATACAAATGACTAAAAACCTTCACATGAACATGACTGATGATTTCTCCATTATTCTAACTGTACAGAGTGCTTACACTCTGTTATTAACCACACAGTATTCCTCTCCCATTCCTCCTAGGGTAAATCCTTCCCCAGACAAACTCAAGAACGCCAGAGACAACTACATTATAAAGAATTACAGTAATATCACAGTAATTCTACAGCAAAAAGGAGAAGGAACTTTCACTAGTCTCAGTGACTTATTTTACCTTACAATCCATTACTTTGCTACATACTTTTCAACATGCTACATACTTTTCAACATGGACTCATATTTTAATAAGTGTTGTGTTGTTTTTTTCTTTAACTGGTACGTGCTGGCAATGTCCACACACAGAGAAGTTACACGAAGAGTCTACTATTTCAGTAGGGCAAAGTAGGGGAGATCTCCCCACAACCCAATCATTGCTGAAATTCATGAAAGTGAAAATTACTTGGTCCACCAAAACCCAAAAGGCTTTAAATAGTCTTTTTCATTCCTAAATTAAAAAGAAGATGGGTTCTGACTCAAGAAAACAGGTAGAAGTTACGGGAAAGCAGTTTTGCTATGATTTTTGACTGCAAACGTGGAATTATTGCTCACAGTAGCAAGGAGGGAGAAAAATAATTGGTGATTATTCAACAATTTAAGAATGAAGGCTGTCTCGTCAGATGTTTTGGTGGGCAGCCCAAATGAGGAAATCCACAGCTCTGAGTGGATTCACCATCACCTCTACTTTAACTGAGTGCAATAAAGGGCAACTGTGAAGACGAAAGGGGAGAATCTTGGATTCTGATCTCTGCTGGCTGAACTGTTTGTGCGTCTCAATTTTTCATTCATGCAAAGTATCAAAATAACAGTGGCTGCAAGTGCCATAAAACTGGAATAATTTCTAACATTGCTCTCATAGATCTACACATAGTATTCTTAATAACAACTTAAAATAAGAAGAACAACAAAAATAAAATATCATTTCTTTGCTCAGTCTTTTGGCACCACAGATCTTGCACTCTTGCCTGGACAGTGCAACCACCCAACAACGGAGCGTTCTCCGTTTAACCAAACAGTATAAACACAGTCTTTTTCCATGGGAGGCCTTTAGCATGCAGATTATATTGAATCTGGCTCTCATACTTTCTGAGTGGGTGCCAATTACTAGGTAACTCAATAAAGGGGATCACATCGGGCTGTCACAAAGGCTGATGAGCCTCCCTATAGTTAGTGGGGAGGGTTTCAGTCCAGAGGGTTATCCAGAGGAAGAGCCTGACCCTAGTGGTCTTACCTGCCTCTCAGTGACTCAGGGAACCTGAGGAAGACTGCCAGGAAGCAAAGTCAGAGCTCCTCACATAAGTCCTCTGAATCACCTCCTGGCAACCACAGAGGGAAAAATCGGTGGCAGCGATGGTGCACCTAGAACTGGCACACAGTTGTCAAGGACAGAGAAAAATGAGCCTGAATCCCTCCACATCCAATGTTGCTGCCAACCAGAGAACAAGTTATGTAGGTATTAGTAATAGCTAGGGACCAGATCAGACTAATGAGTAATGGCAAAAGATAACATGAGCTCTTCAGAGGGGTCTTACTCAGGAAATGAGTCTCACAAATATTAAATTAACCACCCAATATTCCTCTCCCTTCCCGACTTCTCCTACAGTTACATAAAAGCAGCAGCCTTTTGTGCTGAAGTCAATGTTGTCTGACCACGCGATCCAAAAGCCGCCCTTGGCACACAGACACCCAGTTTGTGGATCCTGATGAGGCACGGGCACCAAGCTCCTCGCCCCATCGGAGAAGCAGATTGGTAACTGGAGCTCTGGACGTCTAGGAAACTCTACTGACAAAGGCTGGAGTGATGACGTTCTCTCAGGCAGCTACAGGACTAGAGGGAGATAGTGGAGGTTATGCAACTGGAGTCAAACACGCAAACTCCATCTGAGTCTGAATTTGGTCCTTCAGTCTGGCTACAAGTTTGGTTTCAAATCGAATGCTCTCTGAGGAACGAGGAGTGGAAGAACAAAGAAAAAGGAGGTCAGACCCCTGAAGTCACCCAGAACAGCTCTGCATGGTATTATCCAAGCAGCAATTAAAAAGATTTTAGAATAAAATTATATATAAAATTTTCACCAGTTTTTTTAGTATTCAACAAATGCACGCTGTATACTGTTGTACAAGTGCTTTAGTTGCAAAGTATCTGGCACAAATTAAAAGCCATTTCAATGCAACGTGTTACACCACTGCTTAGGTATCACCCATTAGCTTTTAAGGTTTTCTTCAGTCACAAAGTTTACATTTTCAGAGATTTGCTGACATCTCATGGAAGCTCAAGTGGCGTTTTACTGAGGTGTGGATAGAGTACAAACCATTTACATTATCTCAGTATTGGTCAACTGCAGTAGAACAGCATCTCTTTGCTTAAGAGGTATTTTGTTCTAAATACTCACACCTCACCTTAACTCAAACCACATGACGAACAGTCAGAAACACAAATGAGGGTTAAACAGACAGATCTTACTATGAGGATCACTGCCTAGACTGTATAAAACTATAAAATATGCTTCCTTACTGGGGTAACAGAGACTATTTACATTAATGTTTGATATGAAAAGACTACGTACCATCCATTAAACGCAGCTGGTTCTTTTTCAAAGCCTAATCTGTACACCCCTTCTCGTTTTCTCAGGTAGCAATGATAAATGAAGACAGTCTTAAATAACTGGTTAGCTCTCACAGAGTTGCTAACACTCAAAAGATCAGATTTGGGATATCTAACTGGAAATGCTTAGTACTCAACTGGGAAAACATAAAGGCAATTATTCAGTTATTGTGGAAAACTGAAAGCAGTAAGGTAGTAGAGACAATTTACCGGGGACTATGTATTTCTTATCAATGATTTTTTTTTTTAAATCAAAATTTATTTTTAAAGATATATTCTAAAGCCTTTATACTCAACTTTCTCACTGTAAGCTGCCAAGTACAACCACCACATTTTTGGCATAAAGTACTTTGCTCGCCAGACCAGTCTGACCTATAACAGTAAGAGGTTTCTATGACAGCAAGCAGTACAAGCCACACATTGTCATTTTCAACTGCAGATGACTTCTGTAGTTCAAACAGGAAAATAAACCACTAACAACCTCCAGTGTACAAAGCCAGAAGGTTGCACGGATTATCAGTCATTAAATGCTGTTGCTCAAATAGCATATATGATCAACTTTGGACATTTTAACATAGGTTTAAATAAGAAAGGTGTAAGACATTAGTGGAGGAAAAGACTTGCAGCGAACTTAGAGTGAAGGGAGTGTCATCTTTGTCACAGCATGTTTTTAAGAGTATGACAGATGCTACAAACAGTTTAGGTATAGCTTATCCTTCCTTTGGACAGTGGAAAGGTCTGGATGATCCTTCAGGGTCAATTTTAACTCTATTTTGTATTATTTTGTTACAGGAACATTAATCATATTAGCTTGAACTACTTCAAGGGGATTATGAAGTAGTCATGCACTCAGAAAGCACGCTTTCTCACACGCTGTAGAAACGTAAGCAAGCACATGCTTCCAAAAACCATGTCTGCGATCCACTTCAATGTTTGTAAAAGAAACATCCATAAATCTATACTGTTCCAACTCATCGTAGCTGACACGCATAGTTTTTTCAAAAGGGTTTTCATTTCTGAACTTTCACAAATGGTAGTTAAAAGCAGTAGTATTCTAATTCTGAAATACAGTTTAAAAAAAAATCTTTAAAATTAGTGCATTATTTAATTAACTGCACACTTTTTAACATAACTTTGAATTGCTACCATGGAAAACATTAATTCAAAATGTATTTCAGTAGAAAAATTATAAACTAAAGGGGGTATTTTCTTCATACAATAAACTGTCACATATTGACGAATTTTGCACAACTTGACATGACTCAGATTTTACAGCACGGACTCCTTAAAAATTAAGACTGAAGTTCAGACCACACCAAATCTCTTCAATTCCGCACAAATTGCAGTCATTCCTTTGACTATGTAAGAACCTCTGGCTGTCACAGGACGGAGGGTGGAAAGAGACAACACTAGGAACGAATCATACAAATGAAAGGTTAAGAGTAGGAAATCCACTATTTCGATTTTAGTTTTCATTAAAGGCATAAACATATGTAATGCAGATTGTACTACAAAACCTGGCATGTATGGGCATCAGAAAGAGACCTGGTTACCCTAGCTTTAACGCAAGGTATTGCATTCACCCAGGACAGCTTGACGACATATCTGAAGACACAGCTTTAAGCAGCAGCTACTACCTATATGAGATTTTTGTATCTTCATTTGAAATCACTTACAGGGGACTGTTTTCTTAGAAAAAACTATGTACCCACAATTCCCATGGGTTTTGCAATTTTCCAAAAATCAGGTCAAGCAGCTTCAAGGAAGGAAGCAAGCCACTATCATGTATAAATCCTCAAGAATTTCAGCCTTAATTACCTACTGTTAGGAAAGAGATAACTGGTATTGCTCTAGTGCCCATGCACCTTCCAAAACTGTGAGGAGCAAGTAAAATGATTTTAAGAGCATTGTCTAGATTTTTAAAGGTGAGCGTCTTTCCACATGGGGGTTTCTACATCTAAGTGCATGATTTATTTTTCATGGTATTGCTCTACCAGTGCACGACCCCTGCTTTTCGCCTGTTGGGAACTTGAATATCCCATCACTTCTGCTGTTGCTCACGATGCTTTGCCACAAACCATCATCCTTGCAATCCTGTGACAGCTGCCTGTCACGCCCGTGTCCTATTTGTCACGCACACACTTTTGTCATGCAGCACCACATCACCTCAGTACACGCAGGAGGACTGACAGACGTCCACCACCTGAGCCAGTGCTGGCCCTGCGCGGGCTCCCCATGATGCGTGGGCTCCCTTGCCTCATCCCATTGCTCCTGCACCCTTCCAGCTGCCCCACACCTCTAACAGCCATCCATCCCATCGCTCCCCAAACCCCTAACAGATGTGCACCCCCTCACGCCCTCCCACTCCCCTCACAGCCAGCCATT